AGCCTCATCTCCCGTCTAACAGCCATGAGATTAAGAGTGTGATCGGAGAGTTTTTGTGTTCTTCTGCGGCGGGTCTTGCAGAACTTAGCTTCGACCGCATGGACAGTTTCCACGAGCTTGTCATTATATCGTCCACTGCATTGCAATCTTGTAGGCACTGAAAGCGGTTACGTAACTCGAGCTGAAAGTTTTCGGGATTCTGGATTAGAGCACGAGAGGGACGGAGCGTTAACTTCATTAGACGTGACCGCTCCATATTCAAGTTTAGGTTCAGTTTATCTTTCACCATTCGGTGATCGCTGCCAGTTTTCACCCTTGCGATCACTGAGACAGCACTAAACAGTTGGCGTCTGGTCGTCATAATGAAGTCAATCTCATTTTTTGTTGAACCGTCGGGGCTCGACCGGGTCCACTTCCTGTGGGGCCGCTTCTGGAAGAAAGAGTTCATCATAAAGAGTCCCTCTTTCTCCATAATATCGGCCAGTTGCTGGCCCCTTCGGTTCCGTCGCCCTACTCCAAATTTTCCTAACTTCAGCTCACCGTTTTCTCTTGTGCCTAGTTTTGCGTTGAAGTCTCCCATCAACACCGTGTAGTGGGTTTTGGAGGAATGCATGGCTTTGGAATATCCTCATACATTTTCTCCACCTCCTCATCGGGATGTGCCGAGGTTGGTGCGTAAACTATGGCAAAACCTTTAGCGAATACCGTTTGGTGATTCTGAGTATCAGGTACGCGACCCTCGTCGACACACTCCCAATCTTTACAACGTTGTTGACGAGAAACTTCTGGACGATAAATCCGACACCTCCTTGGGACAGATGGTCGCCCTCCCGGTGATAGAACAAGTTGCCGGATTCGAGAATCACCGTGTCCTCTCCCTCTCTTCGGACCTCGGATAATCCTATAATATTCCAGCGCAACTTGTCTATCTCTTCTTCCAGCTCCAGGATCTTCTCGTCAGTCCTCAGGGTGCGTGCTTTAAATGTTGCCAGGTCGAGTCGTCGTAGGTGGCAACCGAACCTCCAGGGAAGTACCACGCTATCACAGAATACCAGCGTAAAATAGCAGCTTAATACTGCTATATTTCGTATGGTGAGTGTAAGGATCCGGAGACCCTTTTTTACTAGAAACGAGGCATTCCATCTTAGTACTTAGGGGTGGCAACGCATCTCCGTTTTGAATCTTAATCGAGGATAAATGTAGATGTCTGTGGGCCACAGCATCCACTTACCATTAGGTGGACTGTGCGCTCGTTTGTCACCCTTATTCTATAAAAAAAACTTCTACAACTAAAACGTTCCTAACAACACCCCATATGTTAAGATCCATCGAGCTGATTAGGCTACAGAACGTGCGACAGAAATAGACATACATGCATTCGAAAGATTTTCCCTCCTTCTGTCAGTAAAAATAATTCGAAGACACGTGAAGTCGAGCAACACGCTTTGGGTGCGGCGCGGCGTAGGGAACTCTTCCCTGCTCCTTAACTCTCAAAGAAAGGAGATTAGAATGTGGGCTTATGCCAAGTTGTGGGACGTATTTATGCTTTTATCTTACTTTTACATTATTGCAAACACAAGGCGGCCTTCATTGTACCAATTTTATTTCATAATGCATATAACTCGTCCGAAACCTACCTTTGAATACACAATACGTAATATTAAAAAAAATGATCGCACATTTCGTTTTAAGGTCAATTTTAAAGGTAGACTTTCAAAATTACCATATTGCAGTATGTGCTAAGTGTATGTCAACACTCGTTATGTCACAAAAATCGGAAAGATATAGCTTGAGATTTCAATTGGCTCGCTACTAACGCCTTTTATTTGGAGGGGGGAGGGGGGGGGTTTCGTGGTTTCGTTAATGGGTTCGTGTGCTACATTTCAAATTATGCTGGGTTTCTATTTAAAAAAAAAAGTTTTAATTTCAAAAGGTTTTTTTTTCAAAAAATTCATGGATCCCTTATTTAAAACAAAATACCAATTAAATTATTATTATACCCATTCGTTTTTTCATTTTAGGTAAGTAATATAAACTGATTTTACATGTACCTCGTATGTAACTAAACGGATCGTTACAGAGAACAGAACGTTTATTGAATATAGGAATCGGACATTAGACATAATAAAATTGCAAAAGCGAAATAGCGAACTTATTTTGTAAACTAGTTTCACGATCGGCACTTTTTGCTATCGCACCTCTGATCCAACGTTCTATAGAACGGACCGGTTCACCTCAGCCAAAGTGGGACAGGATACCGGCATGGCACATGCATGCTCGCATGTGGCTTATGTAACCGCGATTTAGTATTTAGATCTAAATTCGCAAGCGGAGCCGCCACATATTGTCGTCGACTACTATCTATTTGATTGCGGGCGAGCGAGGACGCGGGCCAGCCTTGTAGCAACTGAGGCGGGTCATGGGCCTTTACATGGGAGGTATTTCTTCCGTGGATAGTATACTGTATTTGGTAAATATATTTGTTACGTTTTAGGTAATAATTCAAGTTTTTAATATCTCTATCTAGAGCCGTGGTAGCTCAGATGGTTAACGCTCGCTGTAAATATAACAGAACGCGAGTAACCCGGGTTCGATCTACGCCGGCACCAATGAAATTGTTAATTACAATTTTAAGTGCTGATTTACCACGTGCTTGGCGGTGAAGGAAAACAACGTGAGGAAACTTGCATGTCTGAGGAATAAAGAAAAAAAAAGTATTTCGAAGACGTAAAGTTCGCCAACACTCATTGGGGCAGCGCGGCGCACACTTCCTTGCCCTAAAACCTCCTCAGAAATGGGGGAGGCCTATGCCCAGCAGTGGAACGTATATAGGCTGTAACTTTACTTTACTTTAATATCTCATTCGGAAATTAGGATGTTTTTAATTTCAGTAGCCCTGCGAATTATCCTTGGTGAAACACCAGGAATTAAAATAATAAAAATTAAATTAAAAAAAATCTGTAATATTATTTTTATTCCATGTGTAGTATTTGCGCAAATTCAAAAAATCGTTATCTCATTTGGATGTTGCAATGGACCCAATGATGCGTACGCGGTCGGCGGAAGTGAAAATGAGATCATCGGCCAAACTTTCATACTTATGTACGTTTTTCATTTCGCTATACTCTAAAAGTATATAATATCGTCTTCAAAAATACTTTTTTTTTCTTTTATTATAAAATATTGGTCTCACGTACAGGGAGTGTCAGCCGGCTTTTTTAAATACAAATTTATAATAGTGCAATCCTATACAGACGGAGGGGAGTGGGGTTTCCCAATATATTGTAGTTTATATTATGATAAAAAGGTATACCAATTTTTATTATTATAAAATATTTTGAAGTTGTTTTCTTATAGGATAGGGTGAAAAACGAGCACACAGTCCACCTGATGGTAAGTGGTTGGTGTTGCCCATAGACATCTACATTTATCCTCGATTACGAATCAAAATGCAGATGCATTGTCACCCGTGAGGACTAAAATGAAATTCCTCGTTTCCAGTAAGTGTCTCCGGTTCTCTACACTCACCGAAACACGACACCATACAAAGCTTCTGTTTTACGCTGGTATTCCGTGAGAGCGTGGTCCTTCCCCGGTCGAGCCGACCCATTCGTACTACAACTATATTACTTATACAACTGCAGCATGGCGCTACCATGCAAAAACATGATTTTCTTTTTTATTAATTAATCAATAGATACAAAATATGAAATTCTTAGCCTCCGGATATGTAACAATAAAAATACATCGTTTTTAGTAGATTAAAAAGAATTTAACTTGGATAATTATTTATTTTTCATTACATGAATCATAATATAGAAGCGGCTAACAAAGTGAAGATTATTTTTGCTTAAGACCTATTTCACAGCCTACCGGGTTTTACCGAGAAAGTAAAAGTTTGGCGCTAGTCACTCGTGAAATTGTACGGTAAAGGAATTGAATATTTTCCATATTTTTTTAATGTTATAAATGTATCCTTCTTAACGCCTAGTATTAGAAATAGCTTAATAGCAACCACCTCATTGTTAACGCAACTGCGGATATATTTTTTAAATTATTTTGATTTGTTCATCAGGATTATGTCGCTGCCCATTTTTTTATATAATAAGGGTGACACAAACGGTTACATATTCTAAATGATAGTAAGTGGATTTTGTGGCCCATAGACATCAAAATCTACCCTCGGTTAAGAATTAAAATCCAGATCCGTTGTCGCCCTGGAAACTAATTTCATTCCAGTTCCAGTCCTAATCGCAGTAAAGCTGTAAGAGCGTGGTTCTACTCCAGGCTCGACATCCATAGGATCATATGGGGTAAGAGGATTTTCTTACGGCTAACTAAATAAGATTTGGCGAATACTTAAAGTCATATAGTTATTTCATACAGAATAAAAGATATTTTGTCCTCTATCAGCGACCTTTTGAAGAATAGAATACTTTTGGCGCGAAAATTTCAGTAAATCTTCGTAGTTCGAAAACCTAGCAATTCCCTTTGTTTAATCCAATCGATGTGTTAAAACAACTAAATTATAAATAATTACCTATAAGACTTTAAACATATTGTATCATGTTAACAATTGGGGTCTTCTTGTAAACTAATTTTAAAAACTGATAGGATTAAAGTTATTTTATACGCCAATCTAAACGAAAATGCTTTATTCGATCGATATGTTAAAGCAATTAAAATTATTAATAATTACAAACTTTCTACATATTGTATAGTGTTGATAATTGATGTCTTCACTAAAATTAATTGAAATCTTTATGTATATAGAAATATTTATATATAATTTATATAAAGGTTGTATATTTACTTTTTATATTCGTTGTTTATCACCTTTCAAACCCCATGATGTTAAACCAATTGAGGACATCCTTGGTCTACATTCATATCTCTCGTTCGCCTACAGTACCTTAATTACCCATGCCGTACTGTCAATATACTTTTTTTAATTAGACAAACGCTTGAAATATCAAATGAGTACTCTGTAAAATTAACAGATATAGATTATCAGATGGGAAGGAAGGAAACTACGCTGATCGGCGCACAGACCGCGAACGATCGGAGCACCGACCGCGCGAGGCCGCTCCATGTAAATGCGGCTCTCAAGGCGCCCGGCCCACTTACTGTACCACCACAACCACCAAACACCGAACTTATACTCTCCTACCTTAAAATAAAGTGTTTTTTATCTTAACTCAACTGTGAACGTTTTTTTGTCGGCAAACTCTTACAATGCTAGCTCAATAGACGTTGTTGAAATGTATTTAGGTCTGTTTTTCAATGTCCTAGATGAGCTAGGGCAATAGTGATGCGAAGTGCAACGGAGACGGTGACATGAACGCTATCCTTTTAAGTATAATTGGCGTATTCTATAAAAAAATGAATCGCCACGTTCATAGACCGCTACGGTCGTTAGGACAGAGTCGTGTTGCAATAGGTCAGGTTTGTTATAAATGTTTTTTTTTAAATTTAGTGATGAACAAATATCGCTTGCTTTTGGAAGTCTTGCTTTTGAGTTAAATTGCATTAATTAGCACGCTACTAGTACGTGATAGGATTTGCAGAATTCATCCTGTTGGACTCAATATAATCTAAGCTTTTTATGTAGAGCCACGCTGTAGCTAAATTATGATTAATTATAGCACAAATAATCAGCACGGATGGCACGAACGTGAGTGTAGAGAACCGGATACCATTTTTACTGAATACAAGACATTCTACTACCATCAGGTTGAGTGTGTGCTAGCTTGTTACTCTTAATCTATAAAAATAGCCTCAACTATTTCTGTAGTCCTCCAGTTGATCCTCCGTTATGCATATGTTTAAACATACCTTTTGTTATTTTCTTATATTCTATAAGTGTTATATATAATATGCTCCATAGAGAATACCTGCGCTCTTTCTGTCGGGTACTCCTTCGCTTAAGCAAATGGTCATTCATAACAGTTTATTAGAACTACACTGCTGAACATAGAACTCTCGCACAGATTGCCTCGTAGGGGAGACATTTGCCATCGTTTGCTACTCATGGCAAGTTAAGTCGTTATTAGAAACATTGAGGGGTAGTGGTAGTGAAGAGAATCTACTATTCCATATCATCCCGTAGATATCGTAAGAGGCTACGGAGAGGCAATGAAGGAGAAGGTGGGAAGCAGCAACTTCCTAATGACAAATGAAGTACGCTTAAAATAGCGTTGAACAAATTTAATTTTTACTTTACATATTTAGCTCAACAGTTTTCTAAGTGGTAGCCTGTTTTCTAGGCTCAGAAGGGCTAGAACCCAGAGCCGTAAAGCCAGTTAATAAAAAAATAGCCTTTTTTTTGTTTAGGATTTAGTCCGGTGGCAAGCATGTTAGGAAAATGAGGGATTTTGAGTACCTTTGTGTAGCCTTCTTTATTATAAGTTGATGGCAGGGGCAACCTACGTTACAAGTACCAACGTATTTTACAAAGAAAACTAAATTTTCCCCTCGCAGAAGAAGATCGATGAAAAAACATAAAAATATTTTGTTACATTAGAAATTACCTACGGATCTTTTATTTCATTTAACATGACAAGAATTTATCAAAAGGATATTAAAATATTAAATATATCTGGAATTAGAATGTTACTAAAAATACAATAACTCCTAGTACGAAGTACCAAACGCATATTGTTCACATGACAACAAAGTCCCTAAAGGCTGTTTCTGAGTAATACCTGATCCAGGCAAAACCAACGATCACGAAAGCGTTTGTGGTAACTGCCGATGGCATTCACGCAATTTTCGTCTTTATTATCAATTTATGTCATGTTATTATAGCGTGGGAAATTTGTGTATTGGATGATAAACAATTATTAAGTTTGTACAATATAAACTAATAAAGCAACGGGCTTGCTTTAAGGCTTTTGTGTATAATATTGTTTTATTTAGGTCATGAAATAGACACCGATAAACCAAATACGGCAAAATGTTTGTTGTTAAAACCTAATTTTAAACGGCTATTGTATTTGTAAATAATTTAGAATATTTTAACCCATTTCCTTTGTGAAGTAACACATATAGCCCAGAGATAGTCTTACGTGTACATCATATGAAAATCGGACAAGGAAAGTGTGTTTACGCTACAAAATAGAGACACTGTGAGTAATGAAGTCATAACTTCTATAAACTAAGGTTATATTCCCTCAGGAATGGAAAAATTATAGACTCAATTTATTATATATCTAATAAATTATATTATATAATAAACGTTTTTTTAATTCGTATATAATAATTTAAAAAAAAACGTATATAATTCGTACATAAAATAAACTCGTATTCTTGATCGAATGTGAGGCATTTAAAATTCGGTATTTTCAATTTAAATTTGGCTTATCACAATAAAAACAAATTTATTCAAAATATATCTTAGAAGGAAGCGAGCTAATGAGTTTCAATGTATATTAAAGGTGATATTCGAGGTTTTAATACGGTTACAGTAATGTATAATCAAAAGAAGGAATTATAATATTTTAAATAAAATATACGCTATGCATATGATGCTTATATGGAGTGACGACCAGGTAAGACATGCAGGAAGTCAATATACTTATTTTTAAAATGACATTAAAAATTAAAATATTGGACATTAAATATCCGACATGATTAATTAAAAGTTGTAAACGTCCCGTGGGTATTGTAAGAGGCGATAGCGAGAAATTTAAAAAAGGTAATGAGAATATCTCGAAACTGTAAAAAAAAAACCGCGGTTGCCAAGCTGCCTGCCCAACGTGGCAACTGGCTACTATAGCAACATCACCCCTATAAGTCGATCTATTTGTATAAGATTGTAATAAAAAAATTAATAAAAAAGAGATTTAGATTTGCTATCTTCAATACAAAGTACCCGGTTGACCGAAATTTGCTCGGTATTTTTCGCTCGGTTTTTTTTTAATTCGTGTGTTTTGGAAATTATATTTAGATACAAATTACATACTGATGAAATACGAATAATATTTTTCGATCTTAGCGACATAATAGAAAAAACTGAACTGGTTATTTGAATAAAAAATCATGAGTGCAATTAGTTTAATTTAATTTTCCGTGTTTTTAAATTTTGTGGCTGCTCGAATGGTATTACGATTTTGTGACCGCCCAATATAACAATTAAGCTATTTGTAACCATTAATAAATTGCCAAAGTGTACCTTCTTATTCTAACGATATTGTAGCAGTTTTCATTGTCTAAAAACATAGACAAAAAGACATTTTCTAAAAATAAATCCTAGCTAGATCGATTTATTGCCCCCCGAAACTCCCTGCACACAAAATTTTATGAAAATCGTTGGAGCCGTTTCCGAGATTCCGATTATATATATATATATATATATTTTTTTTTTATAAGAATTGCTCGTTTAAATGTATAGGATAAGTGAAATTAAAGTGTCTGTTTCTAATGTCAAAATAACAGCTTTTTACTAAATGCATATGACAGTATATACGGTAATATGATAAAAACTATTTTGAAGTTGGTTTTCTTCTTCAAAATAAAAAACCTAGCTTGAAACGTTGATTTTTACCTTTTAATTAAACTTCTAAATCACCAACTGAGTATAAGTTTTTCGAAGAATGTGTCAGATATATTTTGAAAATGACTCCATGCTCTCCACGCCGGGCAAAATATTTGATGAGATAATGCTGCGCAAATAGATGGTCTGTGAGCTTAAAAAACAATTTTTAAAATGTTTGTCTTTCTGTCTGTCTATTTGTTCCGGCTTATCTCCGAAGCAGCTGGACAGATATTGATGGGATTTTCACAGGCAGATAACTGATGTTAAAAGGAATAACTTAGGCTACTTTTATGCTAGAAAAAGAATCAGGGTTCCGGCAAAACCACGAGAAGATATTGATGGGATTTTCAAGAGATTGTTTAAGGAATAATTAGGTACTTTTTGCTGAAAAATTGGGTTCCGCGCAAAAAATTAAAACCTACGAATTTACCGACGTAATAAATTCAACGCGAAGTCGCGGTTATTAAATCAAAGTTTTGACTTTAACTTTTACACGTACATATTTGGAGCTCCGAGCTAAAACGAAACGATCTTACTCTAGTAAAGGCACAAAGGACTCGAGTAGGTGCGAATTATTTGGAAATACAAAATCAAATTATATTTATAGCAAAGGTAGCCATGAACGCAAGATATTCAACAATATAAAATATTAATGTGTTGTTTTTATGTTTTTTTTTCTTTAATACAATGAGGGTGTCGAAGGAACACACATTCCACCAATGGTAAGTGGATGCTGTGACCCATAGACATCTACAATATCCTCGATTTAGAATCAAAATGAAGATACGTTGTCACCCTTAAGATGAAATGCCTTGTTTCCAGTAGAGCCTCCGGTTTCCTACTGTAGGAGTAGTTGTTTTGTTTGACTCATCTCCTGACATTCGCCCTGCACTACAACCACCATACGAAACACAGCAGCAGTAAGCTGCTATGTACGCTGGTATTTGAGAGAGCTGCACGATTGAGCGGACCCATTTGTGCTACAACCATAATAAAGCTACAACATGGCTCTACCGTGTAAAAAAATGTTGTGTCTCTTAAATTATTTTTCGTATAAAAGTTGCTGTATTCTCAACGTTAGAATTGTTCAGAAAAATATAAAAGAACTCCGAATCATAAATTTCTTGAACTTAAAGTTTTTGAAAAAAAAAAAAAGATTGAAACATGTCCTTAGTTAGGTTATTTCAGTAAGTAAAATGAAACATAAATGTATGTCGAGACATTATGCAACTGGGATTATTCACTTCCCTCGAAGCGATGTTTTCCTCTCGATGATAAAAGCAGATACACTTGCAACTACGAATCAACCGATGCGCTTTTCAATTTAAAAATAGGAAACAATATGTTTAAAACAAACAATATGTTTAAAACTAATAAATAATTTAGATTTAAGATAGTCAAAGACCATTAATTTTATTAAGTTATAGTTTTTTTTAAATCGATATAGTCTAGATCCCTCCTGAAATTTCTTTCTGTTTGTGAAACTTCATCACAATTGGTATAGTCATTTCAAAGATTAGCTCGGACAGACAGACGCACATGGTTATTCATGTCTTAATGCCATGGAAATTTTTTATTCACTTTTAGCTCAATTAAACGCAGTTATTAGAATGTTACAGGAAGGCACTTCCTTTTTACTTACCTATCAAAAAACATGACTA